CCCCCCCCCCCCCCCTACACCCCTCCTTCCCTCAGTTGTCGCACCCGCTCCGACACCGGTCCCGACGCCGGCTACGAAGTCGTCTAGCGCCGTCGCCACCGGGGAGGTCGCGGAGGGAGTCGCCCTTGGCGCCCTGCCGTGGGTGGTCGCTCCGGTCGTCGCTTTGGCCGCGTTGCGCCCCGTCATCTCCAAGGTATGTAGGTGTGTGTCTGATCAGCTGCTCTGATCGTGAAGCCACCGTCCCGTCACAGCGGCACGGTCGGTGTCGCTTGGTAGTGGTCGTTACAGCCGTTTTTTCGAGCAGGGGGGGGGAGTGCGTTGGGATTGAATACCAAGAACGGTGAGAGGAGGGCATTCGTTTCTGTTTCGCTTTGTTGCATGACCGAAGGAAGGGTTGTGTCGGCCTATCTATCTGTACGGAAGGCGGGCGGGGTGAGGAAGGGTTCTGGATTTTTGTCTTGTGTGTGTCCTGTACCTTTCGTCAAGTGTTAAATTCCTTGCAGATTGACTCACAATTGTGTGCATAGATACTGCTGTAGTTCGGTTTGTGTTTTTGGTCGTTGTGGGTGTTTTTCTCTGCCACTGAAGCAGCCGTGCACCTCTCAAACAAAGCTTATAGTGTCGCTAACAGTCCTACTTTCTTCAAGACAAGACAAACTTCCCAACGGCAGTAGCCTGTTCTCAAGAACAACCTCAACGTTTCACCGTTTTCCGAACACGTATCGCATTGTTAATTGCCGGGTGCTGCGATGACACAGGGGGGGGGGGTCACTGTAAGCAGCGGCGTTGTGTCTGGCCATCGCGTCCCATAGCGCCGCTAGCTCGGTGTGTACTTTTGAGTAGGAGCGGCTGCGCTGTTGCAAGATCAACATAAGCAAACAAACAAGAGTACGAGGCCCCCATATCTCTCCTTAACATCAAAAGTGGGGAGCATTCCATTGCTGCCACTGGAAACTGAAAACATCACCATTGCGCCGAAGGCACGCGGGAGAAGACATGCCGAAGAATCTTTCGGAAGCCAAGGAGCCAAAGAGCAAAACAGGTCGCACCGTACATCATAAGTGGAGCTATGTAGTAGTAGGTACCGTGGCCGTGCACGTGGGGCTACAACCAAGTCAGGAGCAAACAGCAAGTGGCCTGCCGTATGTATCGAGCGGACGGACCAAACGCAAAGTACTCAAGCCTCAGCGGGAAACAGACGAAACGACATTCGACATTTGTGCGCTGGTGTTTCGTGCTCATTTTTGTTTATTTTTTGCAGGGAGTCGCTGCCCGTGATGCGGAGCAGAAGGCGAAGGCCATCGAAGAGGCCAAAGCTGCCGAGGCGGCTGCCCGCGCTGCGAAGGTGAGACGACGAGACAATCGATAGGCCCTCCGTTGATTTTCTTGCCTGCGGCGTCTGCGGTGGAAGAAGAGAAAAGACGCGTGCCGTTGTCGTGCACTTTGAACGTGCTTGGCATTGCCGCGAATGGAGGCGTGTTGCCCTGCTGGGTCTCTTCCTACGTCGGCATGGGCTTGCTGTTCCTGTAGTAAGCATGATCCTTGTCCTTCCCCAGTAGCAGCGAAACGTGCGAGCAGGGCGCAGAGTGCCTCAATATTTGTAGCGTGATGATGCGTGCCACTCAGTCAGTCCATGGCGGTGGATAAATGCCTGCGCCACCCTCGATTGGGGCTTGCGCGTGCAACTCCTCCCAATACGGCAAAGAGTGTGGGGGGNGGGGGGGTAGAGAGAGGCTCCTGCTCTACACACAGCCATGTGTGTACAGTATGGTGCAACACGTGTGTGTATTGTGGTTGTGTTTGCGTTGTGTAAATATGGTCGTTCCGGTTCCGGTTTCAAATATGGAGGCGCTATTCAGGTCGAGGACCGTGAGCGTACGTTGTGGGTGTGCCTTATGTTGCTGTAGTTGTGGCGAAAGTAGCCGCTGTCCACGACAACAGCGAACAGCTGAACAAGTGCAACCCCCCCCCCATCTCGGGGACGCGTGGTCAACGGTCGAACAACTTCGGCATGAACAACATGAGTACCCTCATCGCCACCCCACCCCCACCCCACCTAACCCGCTCTGCGCACTCCCCTCTCACACAGATGGAAGGCCTGACCGCCAGCGACCAGGGCGCCGTGAAGGCCCTCGGCGCCCTGGCCGCGGTGTGCCTGGGCGGCCTCCTGGTGCAGCCCCTCTTCGCACCCCCGGACCTGGCGTCCCTCCCTGCCAAGCCCACGCCCACCGTCCAGACCAAGAAGGCCGACCCCGCCCCGGCCCCGGTCCCCGCCCCCAAGAAGGAGGAGCCCGCCCCCGCCCCCAAGCCGGAGCCCGCGCCGGCGCCGGCCCCGGCTCCCGCGCCTAAGGTGGAGCCTGCCCCGGCCCCCGCCCCCGACCCTGGTGAGAAGAAGAGGCCCGTTTAAAGAGGGGGGGGCGACCCGCCGACTGCCTTTGGTTGTTGACGGTTGTGACGCAGCATCGGGCGCATTGGCCCTGCTTTTTATGCCAGCCCGGGTGGTTGTCATTGTTTTTGTTTTTGGCCTCCTTTCCAGCAGAGAGTCTATCGATCTCCATAACGAGGTGTTAGCTCTCATTTTTTACAGGCGAAGGCTTTTGCCGAGCCAAAACCTTTCAGGCGTGTTTCGTAGTATGCGTAGTTCGTGAGGGAATAAGGAGATGTCGTCCCCCCTCCTAGACTTGAAATAAGCCCTAACTTTAGATTGTACGACCGACCCGTGTACGCCTCCCTCCCTGTGTCTGTCCGCCTTCCGATGTACTGTGCAGCTCCGGCCCCGGCCCCGGCCCCGGCCCCGGCCCCGGCCCCGGCCCCGGCGCCTGAGCCTGCGCCTGCGCCTGCGCCTGCGCCTGCACCCGGTGAGAAGAGAAGAGTCTTGGTTTGCTTGGGGAGGGCGTATATAAATGTTCTGTTTTTGAGGCTTGAGAACTCGAGGAAGTATTGGCACAAAATCTGCCGGGCATCACACCGTCCCGACCCGTCCGCACACACGTGTCTGACTTGACTTCCCCCTCCTCCCGCGCATGTCACCCCCCCCCCAAGAACAGAGAGTCAGAGGGCAACCTCGCACCTTCTCCACGCGACACTATTATAATAATAATAACGGTAACGAGCATGTACCCTTGCCCTTGCCCTTGCTGCCGTTGCTTTGTGTTCTTGTCGACAGCCCCTGCTCCGGCCCCCGCCCCGGCCCCCGCCCCGGCGAAGAAGAGCAAGAAGGAGGAACCCGCCGCCCCCGCCTACAGCGGTCCGACTAGCGGGAGGGTGTTGGAGGCAGAAACGTTGAGCCCCGACACGCTCAACATGCTCAAGTCGGTGAAGAAGAAATAAACGGACCAGCGAAGCAATACGATAATCAAATGCCAACGGCCAACAAGATGAGCAGAGAAGGAAGGAAGGCTTGAGGTTGAACTTGAATAAGTAAGCAACGCTCACGGCAAGTAAGACAGTTGTTTACTAGGGTGTGGCAATTCACCAAATGCTGGCCTTTCGGTTGTGGCGTTCGGGAGGAGGATGGTTCTTGTGTCAGCAGCGAGAGAGCCCTTTCGAGGGAGTTTTGGTGCTTTTTCCAAGGGATGAGCTGCGCACGTCGTAACCTAGATGTCAGTGTTTTCGGGGCGGTTTGGGTAGAAGCAACACCGGTCGTTGTGTTGAGCATGCGGATGGTGCTTATTTCNCCGCGCCTAAGGTGGAGCCTGCCCCGGCCCCCGCCCCCGACCCTGGTGAGAAGAAGAGGCCCGTTTAAAGAGGGGGGGGCGACCCGCCGACTGCCTTTGGTTGTTGACGGTTGTGACGCAGCATCGGGCGCATTGGCCCTGCTTTTTATGCCAGCCCGGGTGGTTGTCATTGTTTTTGTTTTTGGCCTCCTTTCCAGCAGAGAGTCTATCGATCTCCATAACGAGGTGTTAGCTCTCATTTTTTACAGGCGAAGGCTTTTGCCGAGCCAAAACCTTTCAGGCGTGTTTCGTAGTATGCGTAGTTCGTGAGGGAATAAGGAGATGTCGTCCCCCCTCCTAGACTTGAAATAAGCCCTAACTTTAGATTGTACGACCGACCCGTGTACGCCTCCCTCCCTGTGTCTGTCCGCCTTCCGATGTACTGTGCAGCTCCGGCCCCGGCCCCGGCCCCGGCCCCGGCCCCGGCCCCGGCCCCGGCGCCTGAGCCTGCGCCTGCGCCTGCGCCTGCGCCTGCACCCGGTGAGAAGAGAAGAGTCTTGGTTTGCTTGGGGAGGGCGTATATAAATGTTCTGTTTTTGAGGCTTGAGAACTCGAGGAAGTATTGGCACAAAATCTGCCGGGCATCACACCGTCCCGACCCGTCCGCACACACGTGTCTGACTTGACTTCCCCCTCCTCCCGCGCATGTCACCCCCCCCCCAAGAACAGAGAGTCAGAGGGCAACCTCGCACCTTCTCCACGCGACACTATTATAATAATAATAACGGTAACGAGCATGTACCCTTGCCCTTGCCCTTGCTGCCGTTGCTTTGTGTTCTTGTCGACAGCCCCTGCTCCGGCCCCCGCCCCGGCCCCCGCCCCGGCGAAGAAGAGCAAGAAGGAGGAACCCGCCGCCCCCGCCTACAGCGGTCCGACTAGCGGGAGGGTGTTGGAGGCAGAAACGTTGAGCCCCGACACGCTCAACATGCTCAAGTCGGTGAAGAAGAAATAAACGGACCAGCGAAGCAATACGATAATCAAATGCCAACGGCCAACAAGATGAGCAGAGAAGGAAGGAAGGCTTGAGGTTGAACTTGAATAAGTAAGCAACGCTCACGGCAAGTAAGACAGTTGTTTACTAGGGTGTGGCAATTCACCAAATGCTGGCCTTTCGGTTGTGGCGTTCGGGAGGAGGATGGTTCTTGTGTCAGCAGCGAGAGAGCCCTTTCGAGGGAGTTTTGGTGCTTTTTCCAAGGGATGAGCTGCGCACGTCGTAACCTAGATGTCAGTGTTTTCGGGGCGGTTTGGGTAGAAGCAACACCGGTCGTTGTGTTGAGCATGCGGATGGTGCTTATTTCTTCTCGCCGTGGGAAAGAAAGCCTTTCATGCTGACAGTAGAGTCCGGCATGTGTTGCCTTTTTTACTTTGTACTTGTTGAGTGCCTACCCGGGGAGGGTTTTCTTGAGCAGGTGCGCCACGATCGCTCGGAATGATGTTTTTGATCTGTTGCCTACTTGCCTGCGCTTACGCGTACACTTACGCTTCCCCTTGGGAGGGGTCGTACCTCTTTATATGTTGCGGCGGAACCCCCCAGGCCTATGCGTTCTTTGGGGCAGGGAGGCGTCAGGGGAGAGGAGGCTCCTCCCAAAAGACAGACCGCTGTTTTTCGATTTTTCTGTCTCGTGTTTCATGTCAGCCCTACTCCCACGCGGTGCATTGGGTGTGGTTGTCGCGGGCACTTGGGGCTACTAGTAGCTTTCCTCCTGCTTGGGACGTGGCACGCGTGTCTCCTCGTCCGTGTGCCAACGTTAACGCCCGTTGCCGTCTTGCCTCGCTTGGTTACGTGTTTTCTCGGACGTGTTGTTTCGCTTCTTGTGCGGTCGATCATCGGACAGAATCAACTACGCTGATGTTAGTCGCAGGGTAACACCCTGTTCTGTTTGTTTTTCCTAGACCCAAACCTTGGTTGATTCGGCTGGTGGGCAAGTAGGGCACAACATAGACGAAGGACGGGCATCGGGAGACAGCAGCCGGGTGAGCTAGAGTTAGGGTTAGGCTATAGACGAGACAAATACAGGTTGATTTTCAGGACGCCCTTAACTAAATGCTATGGGTTAAGCGTGTGTTCTTGGGATGCAGCAAATGGGGCTGTTTGAGGACGGGGGGGGGGGGGGG